AACCAGGGCCGGGGACAAACTGCAACCGAGGTACGTGCCCTTAGCGGGAACCGAACCCGGGTCTCTCTGTACCGCAGGCCGACGCTCCAACCGCTGAGCCAAACCGGCCAGGGCAGATTTTTTTTTTTTAATGCTCAATAGCTCACAGTTAGGTGCTGACAGTTGACCATTTCATGGCTCATACTCCCCCTTCTTCTTTCTCTTCATGGGCTCTAATCCCCTGGTCCCGATGTTTATTTTGTAAAAATTTTTTTCTTTATTGATTTTGGAGAGAGACAGAAACATCAATGAGAGAGAACATCAATTGGCCGCCTCCTGCATGCCTCCCACTGGGCATCGGGCCCACAACCTGGGCATGTGCCCTGATCGGGAATTGAACCGGTGACCTCTGGGTGCCTGGGTCGCTGCTCAACCACTGAACCTGACCGGCCAGGCAGGTCCTGTTATTTAAAAGTCCTCAAATCCATATCCCTCCTCCCATCACCACTGTCACTGCCCTTGTTTCTGCTAGCAACGCCCTCCTCTGGACTGTCTACTGCACTATACTCCTTATTTCTCTCTCCCTGCACCTACCCTCCTGTAACCTACTCTACATTCAGCCAGGAAAATGACCTTTCTAAAGCAGTAATTGAATCACATCTGCCAAGTTCCTTCTCTGGCTCCATAGTGCCCATACAGTGCACCTAACCCTGTGCACACAGCCTTCCAGAACCCCTCATCATGGGAACACTCCTGCTGCTCCAGCCGCACCTGAGATTCCCCACCCAGGGCTGTGGCTCACGCCAAATAGTGCCAAATAGCAAGACGGCAAGGTGCAGTGGCCCAGGGCATGGACTCACAGCCACACGGCCTGCTTTGAATCCTCCCCGCACTGCTAATAATCCAGGGTAATCCAACCTGATATTCTCGGACAATCATGCCACCTCAAGATGCTCGACTTAACACATCTATAGTAACCAATGTAAGGTGCTCACAGGTCCCAGGGGTTAGGTCCCACTATCTCTGGATGCCATTATTCAGCTACTGCATAGCTGTTTGCATGTACGTTGGTCTTTTCACATCTGTATGCTGACGGTCTCCCTCAGTGTAAGCACATAATATATCATCGATAACTGAAATACACGTAGAGGTATACCACTCTAGGGTACAGGTCCATTGCCCATGTTCATCGGCTTTCCATCTTTGCTAAGGCTTGATTTCCCTAGGCCGGAGCTATTTCTTTCGTGGGCTAATTTGAGATTGGAAGGAAATTTCACTCAGGACGGAGATCAATTTCTAGGTTAGAGATATTAAGCAAAAGGGGTTTTCATCTCTGCATGGCTTGCTCTGAGCCACAGTGAGGCGAAGTAACGGAAAACTCCATTCCTTCCAAACCGTGGGACGGAGGAAGTGGAAAAGATGGAGGGGCCCTGGCAGCTGGAAGGTGACTTTCACGGAATGTGAGAATGCCCAGTGGAGAGTGACAAGCATGAATTGCATTAAGAGTGCTGTCATCGGTTTGCCCGGGCTGGCTCATTGCCATTCCTTGACCATGTGTTTTAAATAGTTTTCTTTGTAAACTAAGTTCCTAAATGCATGGCTGTTGCTTAACTATTTTCCCATCTTGAATTACTCTGTGTTCAGCACAAGCATTTTTCTGAAAGGAGGCTGTTTCTTGGCCTGTGTTCTTAAATCACAGTCACCTTCACCCCTGAAAATAAGTCTGCTCCGGCCACCACTCACCTGGAAAGACAACTCAGTGGCTTTGCTATTGTTTTTCTCAACTGATGGAAATCTTTCTCAATGAAAGAGGAACAATTACATACTTGCTATCAAAAAGTGAACAAGTAGATTGCTTTGCACAATTATTCCTTGAAATAGTAAACTGTTTACTGTTTATAATTGTTTACTTCCACATCATCTTTTCGTCTTTGTGCTGGTTACAGCCCCCAGAAATCAGAGTTAAAAACTAGAGCCCCAAAATTTACCCAAGGTTTGTCTGTGTATGCATGTATTCAGAAACGTCTAGGGTTTGAGAGTTTTCTTTCATTAACATATAATATCCATCTCTAACAAAACATAATTGTCAAAATCAATTTAGGTAGTACGACCGACATAAAGTTTACCTAACATAGTAGCCTGGCACCTGTCAGAGGCTTTTCTGACTCCTGTAGCTTGTCCAACTACAGCTACTTACCTCCTAAAAATCATATGGACCGCGCTAGCCAGTTTGGCTCAGCGGTAGAGCATCGGCCTGTGGTCTAGAGAGACTCGGGTTCGGTTCCCACTAAGGGTATGTACCTCGGTTGCAGTTTGGCCCCATCCCTGGTTAGGTCGTGTGGGTGGCAGCCACTTGATATGTCCCTTTCACGTCGAGGTTTCTCTCTCTCTCTTCCTCTCTCTCCCTCCCCCTCTATCTGAACAAAAAAATGGAAAAATGTCCTCAGGTGAGGATAAAAAAAAAATCATCTGGACAGCACTCTCCCTCTCACTCCGCTCCAGTCACTGTCCTTCATACAGGTCACACTTCTTCCTACCAGTGCGACTCTGCACATACTGTTCCCTCTTTAGAATGCTCATCTCTTCCTCTCTTCTCTTGATTAAATTCTGTTCATCCTTTGGATTTAATTCAGGCATGACTCTCTCCGAAAAGCTTCCCTAGACAAGGTTAGATTCCCCTAAGCACTTGAGACCACTGACAGTTTGTATTTGTGGGATGATGTGATTCAAGTCAGCTTCCTCCACCAGAATGTACACAGCTCCGTGAGGGCAGGGAATAAGTTAGCTTTGTTACCATTATCTCACCAGCCCTATCACGATTGCTGGAACACAGGAGGCATGTAACGGATATTTAAATGTTAAATGCTAGCTCTGCCTGCCACTGGGTTATTTGGCAAGTTATTTAACTTCATAGGCCCTCATTTTCCTCATTAGTAAGAAGCCCCTTCCAGTCCCAAAATTCTAGTATATTTATGGTTCCTGTCTTCAGCCTATACAGCTAGAAAGTCGACACTATCTGTTACCTACTTGCTATATGTCTACTCACACGGAGAAATCTTATGCCACCAAGAAATTGGAATTACCTGTAAACACCTTTGCCTCTTTCCCTGATGCCACTGCCTCCTTCCGGCTTTCTTCACTTCTCATTTAAAATGCTGCAGATGCTCCCTTAACTGGTGGTCCTGAGTTCAGTCCTCTCCCCTTCCAGTCCACCTGCAAAACTGCCAGAACTCAGTCTATGACACTGAACTGACTATGGCACCCCTCTGCTTGAACATTGTCAGGGACTCCCACACCACATCTGGGACAAAACTCACCTCTTGAGAAGTCACCTTTCCCCTGTCCTCGCCTGGAGAACTCACAGCCCACTCAGAACCACCCAGAAGACGCAACAACACAATTCTTTCAGGCCCCCGTCTTTGCGTATCGTTCTCTCTGCCTGGAAGACTGCTCTCCTGCACTGCACAGGGCCGTCCACCCGGCAGGCTCAGCTCGACCATCTCTTGAATGTGATCCTGCCTGTGCTCCCACGGAACACCTTGTCCGAGCCACCAAAATAACACCAAGTGAGCTGTCTTTGTTTGCACAGGGATACAAATTGAGTGTGGGCCTCACTTTTAGACTGACCTGATGTAGGAACCAAATCCTGCAGCTTACTGTGTGGCCTTGGAAATTATTGAGCCTTAGATGCCTACTTTGGGAAATGGGAGATATAACACTGACCTCATCCATCTGTTGTAATTCGGGATTAAATGAGATACTGTGATGAATGCACTTAGTACAATGCCTGGCCCATAATACTCAATAACTAATGGAAATTATTATTAGATTGTGAATGTGTTCAGACCTACATTTTGTCCATCTTTCTATGCAGTGTCTGGCACACAGTGGGTGCTCTCGGCAAATGTTTCTTCAAATGCATAAATAAAACAGTATTCCTGATGTCTTTTTCTTTATAGGAAGGCTAGAGGCTTGTTCATTTCAGGAATTTCACTGAAGTGTCGAAAAGTCTACTGATCTCACGACATATTCCAAGTCACATTCATCTTTCCTTTTGCTAGTCTTGAACTTACTGGGGTGACATAGTTTAAGAACAAACTTGAGTTTTCAATATTAGTGTTTTCTGCTAAATTCTCTCTTCATGCTTCAGCCTTGACATAATGCTATGTTCACAGAGATGACATCCTTCTTTTTCACACGAGTAACACCAATAAGCACGCACGTGTACAGGACTAACGTAAGTACCGTTCTGTGTGCTTTTGGTGTTTTAAATCCTCGGGATGACTCCTGACCTGACTGGCCTTTCTGAGATGGCTGTTAAAACCACTGCAAACTCGAGCTCCGGGCCCTGGCCCAGGATGGCACTGTCCCCAAAATGCCGAAGTTCCTTGCGGGCAATGCTGCTTCCTCTGCAGCATCAGCGTCTGCAGCCCTGGGAGGCTCTGCGGGCCAGGCACCTGACTCCCCCGGGGGCAGAGGCAGCCAGGTTCACAGCCCACGCTCGGGGAGACTCCCTAGAAGACCCCCAGCTTCACGAGGTGAAAAACCTCTAACCCTCAGCACGTCAAACTTGCCACTGTCCTGTCTCTTCCGTGTTCCCCGAAGACTCCTTCTAGGGTCTTTGACCAGGACGGAAGTCGTGAGGCTGAGAAACCCTCTGCCCCCTTCCAGTCACCAGGGCGGGTCGTCGCAGGGCCCAGCCGGCCGTCCGGGGCAGGCCCGGCTGCGTGTCCCCGCGGGCGACCCCATCGCGCCCCCGGGACAGGCGGGCGCCCGGTCTCTCCGAGGAGCCGCCGCGGAGGCGCAGACGTGTCCCGCCCTCCTTCCCGGAGCCGCCAGCGCCGCGGGGTGTCGCGGCCGCGCCGGAAGCCACCCGAGGGCGCGGAGCGGCCGCCGAGGGTCCCAGCTCGGGGCGGGGCGGCGGGCCTGTCCCCCTCCCCGCGGGGGCGCGCGAGGGCCGGGCGGGGCCGTCGGCCCTTCCGGGGAGCGGTGGCCGCGCCGCGTCCGCCGGGCGGCTCCCTCCCCGCCCCCCGCAGCTCTGGGTGACGCGTCTCCAATAACAGCTCGCGGGGAGCCGCGTCCGCGCCCGCCGCCCTGCCACCATGCGGGCCGAGGACGGCGGCGGCCTGGAGCGCTTCTGCAGCCCGGGCAAAGGCCGGGGGCTGCGGGCCCTGCAGCCCTTCCAGGTGGGGGACCTGCTCTTCTCCTGCCCGGCCTACGCCTGCGTGCTCACGGTCAACGAGCGGGGCAACCACTGCGAGCACTGCTTCGCCAGGTAGGCGGCGGCGGGCGGCGGGCGGGGGGCGCGGGCGTGGGCGGGCGGCGGGCGGCGGGCGGCGGGCTGCTCGGACCCGGCGGGAGGAAGTGCGCGCGGCGCGCGGGGTCCTAGCGCCGGCCGCTCGGAGGTGGCCCCAGCGGCGGGCGGGGCGGGCGGGCGTTTGAAGCCCACTCTGGGCCCAGCCACGTGCGGTAGGAAGCAGGCGCCAAGGTCCCGCCGCATGCCCCGCACCGCACGTTTTCAGAGACGGGATGTGCCAGCCTGGGAGGGCGGGGTACTGCCCTCAAACGTGGGCTCGGCCGGGAGCCAGCCTTGCTCCACGCAGGGCCATGTGCTGCCCATCCTGTGCATTGCCAGCCGGCTCCAGGTTCGGGCAGCCGGAGTCTGTCACCTTTCAGTTGTGCTTCCTGCGGTGTGTTCTGTTCCCCACAGCCCAGCCTAGCCGCAGACTTGCTGTTTCCTCCAAGGAACTTAATGACACTAATTATTTAACGTAAAGTACTTAGCCCTCTTCTTCCTTCTCACTCTCTTGCACTTGGTGCTTGGAGAGAAGCCAGAGGGGCACTGATCACACACCTGGGACTCTCAGGGACTGCACTGATGGGATGTAGCTAGCCCTGGTTCAGAAGTGGGAAGACACAGCCCCTGGGGTGGGGGTAGGGGGGAGGAATTAGGCAAATTGTGTGGTTGAAAATGGCATTTAACTGTAGCATAGCATATGCATATGTCTTTGTTCATATATATGCATATATAGTCACGTACACCAACACATAATTATAGCCTCAAGTCTTGTGATAGTTTCAGACCTGAAACACACCTTAGAAATCACCAATACAGCACCCTCTCTCACCATTTTACAGGTGAGGTTGTGTGACTGTGCATAAATAGTCACACCTATAGTTAAAGGAATGAAATCCGGTCTCTTAAATCTTGCCCATTTCCCATCGAGTTGAGTGCTTAGTAAAATCAGCGAGGCAGGAAGCGTGCCCTTGGAGTTCAGTCTACCTGGCCTTCTGCTGCTCTCTGAGAAATGGGCCCTGCTGTACTTTCTTAGAATCTCAGTTTCCTCATCTCTGAAATGGAGGATCTTGGGCTAGATGAAGCACACCTGAGTTCCCACAGGTACCTTTTGAGTACAGGTCTCAAGTCCAGCATACACTGAAGTACTCAATGTCTGAGACCTGTGCACCCTATTACACATTAAGACATAGGAAGAGAAGGGACAAGAGCTAAATACTGTAGTAATCTTACCCAGACTCCCCACCAGAGCTGTCTTCTGCTCGTGGGAACCTGGAAAGGAACTAGACACAGAATCATGCCGTGGGCAGCTTAAGGGCTGTATGTGATGTGGCTCTTTGAATTGGTGAGCCAAGAGCTAAAGGGTCATGGCACCACTTTGCGACGTTTGAGTGAAGTGAGCATTGGGTTTTCCCAAAGTTAAAAAGGCTGCTGCGACTGGTCCCCTTGATCTTCTGAGCCTTACTGTGGCTCAGAGTCTGAAGCAGTGTGGGTGTCTGGAGTGGCGGGAGCAGTGCAGTCACCCACCACAGAAGGTGCCTCCCTCCCTTCATCAGGGATCCTGGTGGTCCAGCATGTAGAGAAGACTGCAGTGCCAGGCACGTAGTAGGTAGTGAGCTGGTAGTTGCCAGGCCTCGCCGCGAATGAATTAAAGATCAAATCCCTCTGGGTTCAGAAGGGAGAAGCAGAGCTGAAAGATGCTTTTCTTTAGCTGTGAGTGCCCTCACTGTATCTACTCCACAGCCCCCGACCTTAGAACATGAGTGTACAGTCAGATGCAACTTTGCGTAAGTGACAGAGTTTGCTTCCCCCACCCCCCTTTTCTGAATGAAACTTCTCAGTGTCACTAATTGCTGCCTTAGACCCCCCCCCAAACCAGGGCTGTCACATGCGTTAGGCTGATTCTTTGGCACCTCCTCCACCTTTCTTTGTTGGCTTAGGTGAACTGTCAACACCCACAGTTCACTTCTTCTCATTTGAAGTCAGCTAAAGTAACACACACAAAATCATGATACTGCGACACTGATGACATTAGAAATATCTCCGTGCTCCATTCTATGAGTTGTGTTAAATCTGATTAGTTCAGAATTAGTTGGATCATTCTCATAGATTTAGCACCATTTCCTCTGTCAACTTTTTGTACATGATTGAGGCCAAATCAGTCTGCCCAGCTGCCCTAGAGGAACACGTGTGTGTCTCCATGGTGCCTCCAGGGAGTGGGAGCAGAATTCTCAAATATTGAAGCATATAGAACAAAATCTACTCTCCCCGCTACCCCCACCCCAGAAAACTACTTATCCTTTCTCATGCCAGAAGTTTAACATAAACAATATTGCTTAGATAAATGAGCCACTAGAGATCTCCCCGGTCGTATGCATTGCATGAAATTTTAACTTATTTTGAAGGAAAATAAGTGATTTCTTTAGGAGTAATTGTGTTCTATTAAGTTTGGGGGGGAAAGGACCAGGGAGTTTTTCTGGTCACCATGGGATGGAATTGTTACTGTCAGGACAATTCCAAGGTTCATTTCTGGGAGTTTTAAGTTTGTGTCACATTTTCTCAGTTTTGGTAGGTGACACTTGGGAAGATGTGCATCTTGCCTCAGCTGCTTGAAGGCTGCTTCTAAAAATATAAATGTCGTCTAATTGGGAGCTGTCCTTATCATACCTCCAGATACATTTTATGTACACACACACACTCACGTGCGTGCGCACACATGTTTCTGGCCATCAGCCAACCTCTTGTGGCAGGTTTTTTTACAGTATGTTTCGAACTTTGTATGTGACACATTTTACCACTTGACATTGTTTGAGAAAGGGACAGATCTGCTGTAACAGAGTGTTCCATCTGAATATTCTTTCTGTGTGCAGGTCCTCAGGTGGGCAGACATCCCCCTCCCTCTTGATGTTTTATTCTCTTGGCTCATGGGCCATCTAAGCAAGACTATTGTCTTTTTTTCCTTAGTTTGTTCAGAGTAGGAGGGAAAGTAGGTAGACCCACTTGGCCTCCTTGGAATAGAGCCGTTGGAACCCGGTTTCAAGGAATTTATGTTGTCTGGCTCACTCAGAGTGCTGCTTTTAAGACTTAAAACATTTGTATGAGCAAAACACTCTGATGGAGATGTCTTATTTCTGCAGTTATAAAGAAGTACGATCCCCCAGATTTATTTGGTAGCAGTATCCATCTCCTCTTTCTCATTGTTTTACCAAACAGTTGGAATAATCTTAGTTCCTCTGCCCATCAGAAGAGGTGATATGCACAGGGCTGCTATGATTCTACTTATTCCCAGAACATTTTCTGATAATTAGAGTCTCAAAGGGGATAAATGGCTTCGCATGTTCTCAAATCGTCTTCCTTTCTGAGTGAAAAACTAGACACTGACCCTGGGTGAGGATTCCCCCTTCTTTTTACATGTTTTTTGTTGTTGTTGTTGTTTTTTTAATGTGGGTAGTAAGATTAAAAAATACAGACAACAGATTTCCTCTAAACAGTTACATTAAAAAATACAAAATTCAGCCATGTGTATGTCAGAGAAGATACTGCATCATCACTTTCAACATTTTGATATTTCAGGTTTTTCTTTTATTTAGAGACTGCAAAGGAAGGACTCTGGTTTGAATTCTGGCTTCATCCTTTCCCGGTGGTTTGCCTTTAGGTGAATTATTGAACCCCTCTGAACTCCCAGGTTCCTTTATCTATAAAATGTGCACATTAATACCCACCTGCTGCGCTGGTCCTGAGATGGTGGAAGTCAGGGCTCAGCACAGCCCTAACACAGAGTAAGTTGTCAAAACTGGCCTGGTGTCTGGCTTGTTCTTGTTTGATGAGCTCTGCTGGCTAAATGTTAACTAGTGCGGTAGAATATTGTAATTTCAGAGAGTTTTTTATGTTGGTGGGTTGGGGTGGACGATACTGGGAAGGAAATAATGAACATTGTTGACCAGTGAGTCATCATGCAGATGCCATGTTGACCCAGAGCTAAAAGCAGGAGCTCTCCCCCTTGGGGGCCCCAGAATAATCATGGGCATCTGGGGTCCATGTCAGTATTTTTCAAAACCTAATGGAAATGATGCAACAAGCCTATGCAGGTAAAGCTTTTTTTTTTTTAATTGATTTTTTTAGAGGGAGAGGAAGAGAAAGAGGGATGAACATCAATCGGGGATTGAACCCACAACCTGGGTATGTGCCCTGACCGGGAATCGAATCAGCAACCTTTCGGTGCACAGGACACTCAACCAATTAACTGAGCCACACAGGCCAGGGGTGAAGCTTTCCTTTTTTTAAAAAAGAGTCTTATTTAGCTCCAGAGTGCTTAGATACTGTGACACTCTTTTACTGTGACATTAAACAAATATTTGAAAAGAGGAATGGAGGAAACAAAATTCTCCACGCGGCAAGGATGCCAAGGCTCCTCTCTGTTCTCGCCTCTGAGACTTCAGACGTGCCAGGCGCTGGAACGTGGCTCGTTTTCATGTGCGGGGAGCATCGTTCCCGTTACAGCTCACAGGGGCTCGGTGACCAAGCTGCCCGTTTGGAAACAATTTGCGATGAAAGAGACAGAACAACAGCAGGACGTCCTGAAGTGAAATTCAAACCCTGGTGTGTTAAAACCACCATCTGACACCTTTCCCTCCCAAAAGCAATTGCACAAAATCCTCTCGATGAGAAAAAGTCTGAAGATTCGCAGAAAGTGGTATATTCCCTTCGATCCCGCTGCTCTTTCAGCTCATAAAGCATTTGCAGGCACATCCTTAGTTTGATCCTCCCAAGGATGGCTGGTGTAGAGAGGGCCTTGGCTCGTTTCATGTAGGAGGAAACCGAGTGTGAGGTTAAGTTGTTTCCTTGAATTGCACTTTTTTTTTTTTTGGTCACGTTTATTGAATGCCTTCTAAGGGCCAGGCTCCGCGCTTGCCACGGCCCGAGCCCTGTCTTCCATTCTGAGTGTGGGCTTCCTTCGTCTGCCCCCTTTGGCTGCAACC